GATTGGGTTGCTAGCTCCATCAGCAAGCACTATCCGGATGTGGCCGGGAGGGACACATAAATACAGCTGTGGCGGCTGCCCGAAATTCCGAAAGCCCCCATCCCATTCAGTTTCCCGACACAAGCAACAAAAAGGTGCATTCCACATGGAAACTGCCAACGCTGGAAACCGCCAAGCAGCCCTGGCCAACTCACCGTGCCTGAGGGGTGGCTCGGTAGTGCAGGTACCGGTGCGCGGCAATCCTGGTGACACCCCAAACCTCAACAAGTTGACAGGAACGCCAGGTCAGGCAGCTTGCTTCTGTGCTTGCTTGTTTGCCGGCTTGCCGGCTTGCTGGCTTGCTGGCTTGCTGGCTGCCTGCCTGGCGGTTTTGAGATGTGTGATGGAGGTTTCCCAAACTCCGCAAAAACAATGTGGGTGGTACAAGAATAGAATCCGAGCCACTTGCAGGAAGCACGAACCTCTTGTGACTCGCCTCCCTTTGCTTTTGTTGCGGAAAGGCTGGACCGACCAGCCAGTCACGCTCAGAAAAAGCTATTTTCTTGGCATACATTGCAAGCCTGGCAATCGCTTGCACACCCGCCGCTCTCGCCCGCAAGCGTTTTGCTTCTGGCGCTCGCTCGTTGTGTCATTTCTGGCAATGGCGCAACCTTTGATACCTTGGTCAGCTTCAACAACGACAAGCTTCACTACCCACTGCCCAACCGAGTCGAAGCTCCCCGACCTCAAGCTCCAACATCACCGCCGAGGGGTCCAGCACCAGGATGTCTGGTGGAAAAGGAGCAGTCCACTCCGAACGTGTCAAAATAGGGAGCCGAATCCCAAAAAAAACGGTCTCCCTGTGGAAGCTTCTCTTTAAACTACAAAAAGTAAATCCTGAAAACAAAGGGAATGCCAAGCCAAAGCTGTCCAACCCGTGAAGCAATGAATGACCTGCTCGTGGAGTACTTTGCTTGAGCTTGCTTCCCTGTGATCTCACTCCCGAAATGGAACAAAGAATAGAAACCCAATGTAGTCAGGATGTGTGTGTGTGTGTGTGCGTGTGACAAAGGGCAACAACGACAAAACACATCTCTGGCATGTGCCTCTTGCAGCTTGAATGGTCCAAAGTTGATTTGAAAACTTGGGTGGGAGACGGCTTACACAATGGGGCAAGGCACCAATAGCCAGCTTGTGCCGGACGCCTGCACGTTTAGGATTCCATGTTTGCCCGCCTTGAAGAAAGCTGGGCTCGTTAGCAAGTCGCTACACGTCGAGGCGCGAAGCTGAGCAGGTGCTCAAGGCAGTTGCCAATGACGTTAACGGAAACGTCGAAAATTGGTTTCCACGCGCCTTGCAGAAGGCCGCGCCCCACTAAAGAAACTAAAGGGAAACCACCTATTTCAGTGGGGAAACTATGTTCACATATTGCCACAGGTGCTTTCTCAATGTCGGCTGCTCGCTCGACTGGCGTAAAAAAAAGGCCCGCGCCTGCCCACTCCAGGGCAGCCAGATTGTCGCCCATGATCCGGTCTCCTGGCCTGGCCAACCGAGCGCGAGAGCGAGTGCCCTTGCCACCAAAAGGCGCGCAAGAAACCGAGCCACTGGTGATTACCCCGATCTTGTGTGCAATGCTGCGGCCTGTGGCAAATGGCTGCACCACTAGCTCTGTGGCCAAAAAAGTGAGGGGTGTGACATCAGCAGGCCAGCGAATGCTGGCAAACAAAACAAAAAGGAGCAGAAGCTGTCAGCTGCGAGCACTGGCCCGTTTCGATTTCAGAGCCTAGGATCCGACAAAGTCGGCCGAAGAACTGCGCCAGGCTGTTAACTCCAAGTAGCGGCAGTTTGACCATAGCACGCATGGGCAACAAACAAAGTTGCTTGCTCACCCAAATGAATGTGAGCCCTTAGAGGACGTAGTTCCTTTCTTTTGATACACAGCTTGGAGTGATTATGGACATTGACTGTGCAAGAAAAACACCTCCAAGACAGCCAGCGCCTGTAAGTTGTATCATACAGAACCTTTATGACCAGAGCAAACCAAGTTCACGTATTTCCCTTGCTCACTTAACTGTGTTGCAAGTGAGAACTGGACCACTGACCACCCATGCTTGGTGTCAGTGTCATAAGTCATAGCTGATGTTCTTAGCTGGCACACTTGGAACGTTGCCCTTGTGTTGCCTTTGTAGATGCTCCGGGGCCTATGCCTCAAGACGAAGCTGCGGAATTGAAGCATGGAGGCGAACTGTGGATGGCGCAAAGCGGAAGGAAACTGCGGTTTGTTCAAACTAAAGCCGAACATCATTGAGGCGATTGAGTGAAAGCGGATCAAAGCGAGGGGACACCAAGGGGGAAAAGGCCAGAAGAGCGGCAAGTAGAGCGTGGAAAAAGTAAAACAGGCGGAAGCATGAAAACAAAGGCGCGCGGAGATAAGCAAAGAAAAGTAAGGGAGGAGAGCGGAAAAAAAGGCAGCACAAGCGGAAAAAGAAGGAACAAAAGCAAAGATGGCAAAGGATGAAACGTCCGGGGAGGCAATGCGCGGCACACAGTCCAGATTCAAACTGAGCGCGGGAGGGGAAGGGGAGATGTAAATATCTACGAACAAGTTGCAGTAGAACCTGGGCAGCAGCTTCCAAAAACTAAAATCTATAGTTACCTTCCTCTCTGTTCTTCTTGCCTGCCTTTTGAATCTCGTCTTTCTCTTTCAAATATGTCTTCCTTTGCTACTTTTCTATCAATCCTTTTGCTCTTTCTTTTGCTCATTCTTTCTTTCTTTATTTCTTTCTTTGTTTCTTTCTTTCTTTCTGTCTGTCTTCCTTCCTTCCTTCCTTCCTTCCTTTCTTTCTTTCTTTGTTTCTTTCTTCCTTCCTTCCTTCCTTTCTTTCTTTCCTTCTTTCCTTCCTTCCTTTCTTTCCTCTCCATCTATCTCTATCTAACTAGATCGATCTATCTACCTACCCATCTCTGTGTATCCACCTTCCATCTCTCTATATACCTATTGTCTTGTCTTCTGTCAGAGAGATTGCTTTCAATTAGTTCCCGTACCACAGAAGTTCCTGTTAAACCTCCCGTAATAAATAACGAGACACATATAATCTATAAATCGATGAATGAATACACCTTGAAGATGAGACAAACAATCAAAGCAATATAAAGCAAAAGAGAAAGGAACTAGATAAAGAAAGCACAGTTGGTACATAAGAAAGAGATTAACAGACAAGAGAAGGAAATTGTTTGAAGAGGAGAAAAGCTAAAGCCTGCAACAAGGAACTCACACCTCTGATTCACTGCGACTATTGAGAAGGATGCATGCCTGAAAGTTGGACTATCTCTGTTTAACTTGGAGAGGCATATGATTCATCAACACCCGTCGAGAGGGGGGTCTGTTGGAGCACGCGCCCGCCTGAAGACCTCTTGAAGCTCGCCCGCATCCAAGACGTCCACGTAGACCTGATGAAGAGCCGCGAAGACTTCGCTACATTTGGACCAAGCATATCGCCCCCAATAAGATGTTAGGTGGGAGTTGGTAAGAGGAAAGTTTGAATCTGGGGGGGGGTCAGGTTCACCTTACGAACGTTCGGCAAGATTCTGGACTGTCGGCTCCTTTCGAAAGAAAAAACGTGGACGCTCGAGGTCCCCCTGTTGGTTTAGATGTCCCTCCCAACAGTTGCCTGATCCGCAAAGAACAGCTACCAAGTAATCCTCCTTCCACAACTCTGCCCTGGAGCAACCTCAAGCAACTGCCAGCCGACCAACAGACCAAACGACCGACCGACCGAGCCACCAACAAAACAACCAACCAACAAACAAACCAATTCTATAAGCAACCAGCCCACCAACCAAGCAGCAACCCAATTCAGCAACTAGCAAGCAAACAAGCAACCAAGCAACCAAAGAAGCAAGCAATCAAGCAAGAGCAAGCAAGCAAGCAAGCAAGCAAGCAAGCAAGCAAGCAAGCAAGCAAGCAAGCAAGCAAGCAAGCAAGCAAGCAAGCAAGCAAGCAAGCAAGCAAGCAAGCAAGCAAGCAGCCAGCCAGCCAGCCAGCCAGCCAGCCAGCCAGCAAGCCAGCAAGCCAGCAAGCCAGCAAGCCAGCAAGCCAGCAAGCCAGCAAGCCAGCAAAGCAAGCAAGCAAGCAAGCAAGCAAGCAAGCAAGCAAGCAAGCAAGCAAGCAAGCAACCAAGCAACCAAGCAAGCAAGCAACCAAGCAACCAAGCAAGCAACCAAGCAACCAAGCAACCAAGCAACCAAGCAACCAAGCAACCAAGCAAGCAAGCAAGCAAGCAAGCAAGCAAGCAACCAAGCAACCAAGCAACCAAGCAACCAAGCAACCAAGCAACCAAGCAACCAAGCAACCAAGCAACCAAGCAACCAAGCAACCAAGCAAGCAAGCAAGCAAGCAAGCAAGCAAGCAAGCAAGCAAGCAAGCAACCAAGCAACATAGCAACAAAGCAACATAGCAACAAAGCAACATAGCAACATAGCAACAAACCACCCAAGCAACCAACCACCCAACCACCCAACCACCCAACCTAACCCAACCCAACCCAACCAACCCAACCCCCAACCCAACCAAGCCAACCCAACCAAGCCAAGCCAACCCAACCAAGCAACCAAACAAGGCAAGTAAGCAAGCAAGCAACAAAGCAACCCCCAGGAGAACAGGCGCGGCAAACAACAGGGCGCAAATTTGCTGTACCCGTGCGATAAGGCGCCAACAGAGTTGACTGGCGTACCCCTTGCCAACCAAGGTTTATTGATTAAGAAAACTGAGTTACGAGTGTTAATCTGAGCAAAAGGATTTGCGTCGATCCACCGTGATAAGATGTGAAGAATGCCCCTTCTGGGGCAAGGTTGGTTCCTAAGCATTACAAGGCATGATGTTTTGCAGCACGTGCACGGCTGTCCCAAATAGGGATGCTCCAACAAAACCTGTCAACGTGCAGGCGAGCTACTGTCACAACAGAATCCGGTTGGAAAAGCAAAACCAAAGCAAGCACAATCAAAGCATGCGACACCAAATGTCTACTCTTGTGTGTTTCACTGTGACAAAGCACCCAAGTCCCGGCGGCTTTGCGGCGTTTTTGTACAGGGAGGTGTTTTTGGCGTCAGGTTGAACCAAATCCGTCTTGCCTCGGGCTGACTGAGCTCGAGAGCCAGCGCAATCTGTCCTGAGAGGAAATATGGCGTTGCACCCCTCAAGTGGTCGTTTTTGGCGTTACTATTGGGCGGCTTTTAGGTAAACCGAAGGAGCACAATACCATTTTAAAGCGCATCCGCTGGTTTGCCTATAACAGCCAAGCAAAAGAGGGTCTCCCGTTTTGAGAAATCCCCATGTGTCGAGCTGTCCGTCCTGTGGAGGGAGCGCTTCGACAATTCCCATCTCTTTGTTGTTTGAGGCTACTCTTGTCACCTTGGCTTCAAAAGCCACTCCCAGTTGGCCTATTTTGACATTTACCCGTACGCCACAGGACAATACTCAACGCGATCATTGCTAGATTTCCGATAGAACAGCTTTGCTTTTTACCTCCCAAAGGGGGTGCGCATAAACACTGCTCAAGACTGCGTGAAATCATTGAAGCAACTGCCACCACGTTGCCCAACATTGCCCCAGGCAAGAGAATAAACAACAACGCAGGCAAGGTTCAGAGAGGCATGTGGCCTCAACCAGGATTGCAATGCTCCAGGACAATCTTGCGTCGCTGAGAAAGCGGCCGAAGCCATCTGATTAAACCAGAAACACACAGGGATGAAAACCGCGTTGCGCAAACCCCAGCACCCACCCATCCCTCCTCGCAAAGGGCGCACCATGCGCTCCTAGCAGGACAGCAAGCAGGCTGGGGTCAAGCACTCTCAGACAAGCTGACTTGAACAGTGCTTGCTCTCAGTATCTCTTAGTGACACCTATGGGGTTGGGTGGGGTCGGGTATTTTGTTCCTACTTCACTCTCACATTGGGGGTGAGGCGGGGTCGGACATCTCATTCTATTTGGGGGGTTCTGGAACATATCGCGCGTGGCGCGTCACCTGATTTCGAACTGATTTTTCAACGAGCCGACTTAAGCTGTTTTGATTAACTTCCAGCGACGCATTCAGGGGGCCACAGGACAGCTTTCCGACTTTGACACATTTTGAGTGGTGGGGTGTGCTCGGACAACTCACATTCGGCTGAGCGGCACATAGGGCTCTGCTTTGGAACAAGTCTGAAACAATACAAAGTACGCGGACGCTTCGCCATTTCAGGGTCCGGGAATCACAAAACCAATGGCCAACAAACCAGGCCCCCCGCAGAAAGTGCGCGAGGGGCTCACAATTTTGAATACAGAAAACTTGCATGTTCGTGCCGTGGATGTCCAAAGCCTGAGCCTGAAACAGTACAGCGTAATTACAGGGTCCACCATTTGGATGCTAGCCAGGCGCCACATGTTGCCGCGCGTAAAACAAGAGGTTGACTTCTGCACGAGACACTCAAACAACGGGCACTTGGCACTTGGCCCGTGGCCTCCGTGTCGGGTTGGCAGGCTTCAGCACGCTTCCATCGATTTCGGAGCTTCCATCGATTGTCCGGCCCTCCGGCCATATGACTCAATCCAACTTTGGGGTGCGAACTGGGTCAAGTCTAACCTCCCAAGTTCTCGAAACTTAAACCTCAAGGTAGAACCCCAATGCTTCGCAGTTTGTGGGACCACCGTCTCGAGATCAGCGAGCCCCTTTTTCGGATCGTCCTTCTCCAGCCAGGGAGCCCTGTCCCCCAGGAAGGTCTTGTCCAGCAACCTCCACACGGTGCATGTTTCCGCGCCGGTCCACGGCTTTTGCAGCGGAACAAAACGGACCGGAACCACCCTGTTGGTCAGGACTAAAACCAAAAAAGCGCTTGAGATGTGCCAGGTTCAATAGCTCATGGCAGGTTGACTATTGCTTGACAGCATGTTTGCAAACTCCTGTTCAGCATGTCGTTTCATGTAAGCCGAACTAAGGATCTGAACAGCGAATCCAAGCCAACAGGAATACCCAGGTCTAGAGTGCACGCAATCTGGAGAGAGAACAGTAGCACGATTTTGAGTAGGAAAGCTCCTGGATTTCCAGGTCCCCAAGCCAAAGCTGTTGCCTTGCTTAGTGACGCGTAGCTGCCCGCTCGTGACCTGGCTGCTTTTAGCGCATGGACTCTCAACCTCGGAGGTATCAGTTGCTGAGGTCCTCGCCTAAAATCCTGGCCTGATGCAGCTGCAAAACGGGTCCTCACAATATTTGGGGGTGGCTCAAAATGCAACAGCTGGGGCAAACCGCAGGTTTTAGTCTTTGTCTCCATATACCAAGGTGCCATTTTTAGGGCACCTTTTTGGCTATTCGGTGGTTTGGTCCGGCGGCTCGGAGGCCTCTCCAGCCGGGGCCCCAGGCGTGCTGCTCAGAAACCGCCGCGTCGAGTTGTCCCTGCCCGGGATGCGCAGCTCCTTGAGAGAGAGAGACACGAGACAGGTGTACGACCTGTTCTGGGCTGGCCGTTTTCGGATCCCCTGCTAAAAGTTTGATTTTCCAGTGTGTTGATGACAAAGAAGCCCGGTGCCTCAAAAGGGATCTTGCTCGCGGAACTGGGGAGTCAGTTGCCACCTCAGCAAACAACGACGCCGCAAAACTTTCCGAGATCATGGATGATACCGTTGCCCCGTCCCTGGCCAGGGGTTTCATTGCGGCTCTCCTGAGGACTCACCCCACATTTACGGAAACCTCGGTCCAACTTCGGACGGATGGAATCGGAGTCCTGCAATCGGCGCAGCGCCACCTGCAGCAATGCCGCCGCCAGCTTGCCTAAGAACTGGGGCTTGGGTCCCATGCAGGTCCCACGCACAGACGGTTGAACCGTGCGGATGACCACTGCCAACCCCAAGCAGAAACTGCGTGGTGCCAAAAAAAATCCCTTTCCCACATGTTCAAAAAAATGTAAAGCCCAGCACACCTTATGCAGCCTGGAAAACAAGCAAACAAACAACGGATTTGGTCATCAACATCCAGGCCCTGGTCTCCTTCAAAGGTATTGCACGAGGTTGTTGTGGATGATGAATGCATAACGGGTCCCCCGAATGTCAGGTTTTATGTCAATTGGTAGGACCAACTGGAACTGGACTTAAGGCATCACAAGGTGAGGGATCATGGGTGAGCTTGGTTTATTTTGAGGGGAGCTCGTTGCAAGTTGCAACAAATATTGTCTTGATGCCTGATTCATCCAGCCCTCTGTGAGTAGCCAGCGGGGATTTGTTTAGCTGGAGTCCTCTCTTCCACCAAAGCCTGCTGACTCTCCCTTTAAAAAAAGGAAAATGATCTTCCAAGACCCACTAGTCAAACAGGAAAGTCTTCGAGACATTGTTGGTTTCCTTTTGGTCCCTCTTTACAACCACCCCAAAAGGTCCACCTGATATGCGTGTGTGTATACATATATATATATATATATGCAACCCCCCCCATGGACCCTGGTTTTGCTGCCTGTTGGGGATGGCAAATCTAGAATTTCGAAATTTATATTCTCGAAATTTCCAATTGTGGGTCCCGCAAGCGTGATAATGGGGAGCCCGGAGTCCTCCACAATGTCCTAGTATGATACTCTTTCCAAATAAGATGTTACTTCAACTAGAATTGGAATTGTGAATGTAGTTTAGTAAGGATATAGTTTCCAATCATGTGTTTATGTTCAATTGCAGCTTAAACAAGCAAAGTTTCTCCAAATAGCAGCTACATGAAAATGTAAATATATATATATATATACATATATTTGGCTAAGCTCCAACTAATCTATAACACAAGAAGTTAGATGGAAGTTGTTTCCCAAATATAATCCAAGTGTTAAATATAACCTAAGACAAACACAACTCAATTTGCTTTTGATAATATCAAGTGAATAGAGACTACATCTCAAATATAATGCATATTAAAAATGGCTAAACATTCAAGGGACTTCTACAAGGAAATTCAAAATACGATTTGTGTTATTTACATTCTGGCCCTTTTGTAGCATAAGAAAGGTCCGACATTGAACTTGTTACACGGTGTTCCAAAGGGAAATTTCAAGGGAAGAGAGGTTCAAAATCTAAAACTATCTGGAAACAGGGATTCTAGCTAAACCGTTGTATTTAAAGTTCTATTTGCGCAGGAAAGTTAATTCTATGTCAAAAGGTGGAGGTAGTAGATGAGCAAATGTGAACAGGTAGTTGAAGAGGGTGGGGGACGGTGTGTGAACGTACATATGTATATCAAACAACACATACATACACACATATATAGTACCCCCAATGATCCTGCGCCTCCTCATAAAATACTGGAAAATGCAGTATTTTTGAGCGTTGCACCTGCCTTTGTTTACCTCCTGGAAAGGGGTCAACATGAGCATAGCTGACATGAAGCTCACCAAAAGCACTTGAAAGTTTGTCTAACCAATAACTTGAAAGTGTGTCCACTGGATCGCTAAGCACCTGAAAAGTTGCTACTATCGGATGGAAGATTCAATATTGAAGATTACACAGAACACTTTCCTGAGAATTGTCAGTCCTGGCCAAACCCAAATAGCATTCAAGTTCTTCTAACACTTGAAAGTGCTTTACCACTGGATTGGGGATTCAATATTGAGGAGCCCACAAACCACCACTTTCCTGAGAATCATCCATCCTGGTCAACCCCTAAAATGTTCAAGTTGTTCTATCACCTCGAACATCCGTTACCACTGGATTGAACTATTTCACGGAACACTTTTCCGAGAATCTTATTGAACACCGAGAGTATTGGGACAACCCTGGAATTTTTAAAACTTTTTAAAAATTATGGGATTCAAGATTCAAGATTCCCAGAAAATATTTTCTCAGATTCTTGAATCTTGAATCTTGAATCCATATTTTTTAATATTTTTTAAAAATTATGGGATTCAAGATTCAAGATTCAAGATTCCCAGAAAATATGTTCTCACATTCTTGAATCTTGAATCTTGAATCCCATAATTTTTAACAATTTGTTAAAATGTCTGAGTTGTTCTTGTATTCTTGGATGCATTCAAACTCTTTCAGACTGCAGGTGCTGATGTCATTGCTTTTATCACATCTGTATGCATGCATGCGTATCATATACATGTACGACCCTCCCCCCAATTTTGACACAAATCCAAGAAGCAAAAAGAAGCATAAAACACTGGAAAATACAGGTCAAACGCACGAAACCAGGGTCCATGGGGGGGGTACCATCTATATATATATATATATGTATATATATATATGTGGTTAGTCTCTTTTTTGGCTTCTCTCAACCGATTCTCTGCCCCAGGAAGACCAAAAAACACAAAGTCTAAAGGGTGTCACCAAATAACACCCAGAACCTACTGACTGGTTCCACCACGGCTATGGGGGCTGTGAAGGCCTGACTAGTTTTACAGGTCCCCATGCTATGTTTGAGGCTCTCTCAAAATGATGGACCCCTTTGGGATTATGTTTAAAGGACACCAAAGGGAAACACTTGCATTTTATTGGACCTAACCCACATGGGTGTGGTTTGTGGAGTTCATACGTGTTGTTTTGTGGTTTCAAAGGGAAACCGCATGATAACCGAGGCCATTTTGTGGAACCAAAAAAGGAGATTGGCCTCAAAAGCACGAAAAACAAAAAACAATAGGGTGTCCTCCAAAGATAGGCTCCCGGGAACTCGCTCGCGCGATGCTCAGCGCGATTGTAGCCGAGCTGCGCTGCTCCGGCGCGAGCGGCTCCGTGGAGGTGTCGCGGGCCAGGTGCTCCAACCACGCCTCCGCCTCACGGCTCGCGGCGCGCGGCGCGCGGCGCGTGGCGCGGGAGGTCTGGCAAAAAACGGCCCAGCTGCTGGTTGGGTTTTTTGTTTGTTTGGTTCGGTTCATTTTAGTACTGCAAACAACAGTTGCTCTGCTACCATATCAAAGGTTGGAAAGGTAAGCACATTCAGGGGACCCCAAAAAACCGAAGAGAAGCAGAGAACTCAGAACTTGGTGAAAGTTGGGGCAACCTGCTGGGGTGTGCATTGAGGGGTGCTCACAACCACTTTTGGGATGGGGGAACCCTTTAAACTGCCAGAGAGGCACTTTTGGGGTGGGGGAACCTTTTTTTTGATCTACCAGTTAGAGGCTAAGGTTCAGGGTTCAGGATATCACTTTAATCAGTCAAAGCGGGGGCGTCTTCCTTTTTGATTTGGGGGGGGGGAAGGGAATCCACATAAAACACAATGCGGGAGTTTGTTGATGGTAGTCTTTTTGGATTTGGTTTGAAGGGAAACCGACATGCGCTGCAAGGTGGGCTTCAAAGTGCGCGTGTCTCATCTTTTTGGGGTTGGGAGGGGCGCACGAACCCAGCTAATCATGTGGTTGCTTAGGGGGCGGGGCGCCTCTCGATTCAAGTTGGGAGGCCTATCATCTTGAGAGTAGAGAACTCAAGCTACTGTGTTCCAAATGTCGGTCATTGTCATCGGGGGTCCTTGTTGGTATCCCTTAAGGTAGAAGGCAGAAGGGTCCGAAAGCGGACATCTGTTTCACAACGTGGGGACGGGGGTGCTTTAACTCCTCTTTGATCGGGTCTCTAAATCTTAAGTGAAATGAAACCCTAAACTCGCGAGTGAATCGCCAAGGCGCTTGGGGTCTTTGCTCAAGGTGCCTGTGATGGTATAGCACGATACAGGTTTGATTGGAGCGTGGTCCGTGAGCGTCAGCAAACTGTCAGTAGTAGTCTTGTCCGCTCTTTTCGAGCAATGATGTGGCGAAGTGCGTTGCGTGCGTGATCAAATAGTATACTCATTACGATCATTGTGTCCGAGTGGTGGTCGTGGCAAGATTCTGGCGATATTTTTTTGTTCTCCAAACGCCATTTGTCTCGCTTCGTTGTTACCAGGACGTAGAAGCAAGCGTCTTATTCTACAACAATCTCATGGCTGCAGCTTCCACATTCCTTCCAAAAGCTGCAGCTTCAGTGAAACAACGGCCACCTTGTGTCAAGCCTCAAAACTTCTGTGGTCTCATCCATGTGGGTATAGTGTCTGATTGGCGATCCTTTGGTGGACTGCATTTTCATGGAAAACCCTCTAACCGCTCTAGACCTTTCCCTATGAAACTGCATAGCTATTGGAGGGTCACAATCTGGACATAGAGAAACTTAAGAGTCCCCTAGCCTTTGAGGGAAATTGAGCTAAGCCCCCCTGGAAATGGGTGTATGTCAGAAAGGTGGGAACCCACACATCGTGGAGTCAAGTCCCTTCAGTCGGAGTCAAGTACCTCTGGTCCGTCAAATGAACCCCGAACATCGGAATCCAAAAACGCAGCTACTCGTGAGTTCCACAGCAGAAGCAACCCGGCGGACCAAGATCCGCACTCGCGTTTTGCCGCTTTTCTGAAAATACTCAGCGAAACGCACATTGAGTCCCCAGAAAACCTCCCGAAAAGAGGGCTCAGCTTCAGAAGCGTTTTGCGTTTCGCTGAGGCGAAACGCAAATTGTATCACCCATTCCCTGCCTTCTCCTTTTTGACGTCTTTGCGATCGCTACGACAGTTTGCTGCTCCACATCTCACTGGCGCAAGACATAGCGCCACTGCCACGACTTTGCATACAAGAGGAGATGCGGGCTGCACGAAGGCACCGAATTCGGGATATATGCTTTGCAGCTTGCGAGAGTCTATCGCGCCAGTGTGGCAGACGGCCTTTTCGCGTCCGCGAAAAACATCTTTGGTCAGGCGTGCTCTAGCGAAGCAGTCGAGCGGGCGCGCTTACCATGGTCAGGCGTGCGCGCAGTGTTATAGCGAAGCAGTCGAGCGGGTGCGCTTACCATGGTCAGGCGTGCGCGCAGTGTTATAACGCAACAATCGAACGGGTACGCTTACCGTTGTCAGGCGTGCGTGCAGCCTGAGAACGCAGCAGTCGGGCGGGTGCGCTTTCCATTGTCAAGCGTGCGCGTACGCAGCAGTCGGGCGGGTGTGCTTGCCATGGTCAGGCGTGTGCGGATTGTTGTAACGAAGCACTTACCATGGTCAGGCGTGCTAAAACGAAGCAGTCGAGCGGGTGCGGTTATCATGGTCAGGCGTGCGCGCAGTGTCAGGGCGAAGCAGTGGTTCCCGCGTGCTATGCAGAGTTGCAGGGAAAAAGTGCACGCCGTTGAGCGCGGTTGCTGGTCCGCCAGCATAAACAAATATCGAACCAAACTGAAACCAGCGGAATCCATCTATTTTGAGCCAGCCTGATAAAAAAAGGCACACCGTGGAAAGGCAACCTCAGCTTCACCAAACATAACGGGCGTCTCAAAGAACCCCCCCTGACGCCGCTTCCCTTTGGGCCACCTCGCCTGCTGCGTGATGGGGATCTGCAGTCGCCGGAACACGCCTCGGCCACGGACCGTCGGTCACATTTGCATCACGTCGGGTGCCTCACTTTGAAAGGGAAAGCCAAATCATCATCAAAGGGCACCTTGAAAAATGATCAACCAATTAACCAATTCACCAAATGGCACCAACTAATCAAATAGCACCAACTAATCAAATGGCACCAATTGAGAAAGCCCCTTTTCCGCCTTGAACAAAGTGTGCTTTGATTTCTAGGACCAAACATCGGCATCCCCAAAATCTGGCTGCCAAGAGACAAGGCACCTCCCAGCGAACTCAAACCCAACACACCAAATGCCCAGCTTCTCAACCTACTGTGGATAGACGAAATTCTGCACCACTTGGAAGCCATGGGAAACCATTGTTTACTCGGATTTATACGGGCCTTGTCATTCCAGGGCTTCTGAACGGTGCAATTTCTGGAATTCGTCCAGCCCCGCCTACTGCCTTCGGAAGGCCCTGCAGCAGCGCGGGTGGCAGCGCACCCCTGGCCTGCGATACGTGAGCCAGCCAGCCTCACTTGTCCCTTTTTTGGGCTGCCTGGTTATTTTCCCTCTGGGCTTCAAACCACCCCCTAAAAGCATCCCGCTTGGGAAGCTGCAATTCCCCTGCGCCAATTGCTGTGAACGATGCAAATGCACATCATGACACAGCAATCCCATGGCAGCTCGAAGGTTTGCACGGACGCCCCAAGTAAGCCATGCTAAAAATGGCTACGGAGACCTGAAATTGGAGTGCATTTCAAGTACGTTCGCAAATGTCAGCTGCTGTCCAAGCTGACCTTTGCTTCTCTGCAGAGGACATGAATGAATGTGTTCATTGTGTTCAGAGACATCATAGAACAATGTGAGGCAGATTCTCCAATGGAGGCTTCTCCGCAGAGTGGTTGCCTGCCTGTTGTTTCCCTTCAAATACCAACACAAAAGCGAGGCCATCATTTTTACACACCTCAAATGAGTCAGGCGCATTATGGGTTCAACTCATACCCGCCTTGTCGAGCTTTTGCAAGCGGCCCACGGTGCCGGTGAGGATCAGCATGAAATTGCCCTCTCCTGGCCAAAGTGGCAGAAAGGCTCTTCCGCACGTGGTACTAAAGGACGTCGGATATTTTGAGAGAAATTCAGCTGGCCTCACTGCTTAGCCAAATCAGTAAAGATAAGAACTGAAAAAGAAAAAAAAAAAAAAGCTGGCCAAACTCAGGGGGAACAAAGGCCCTAGTGCGCTGGCACCAAGGAATAACTCTCAAGCCAAAATTGAGCGGCACCTTCAAACTGCACAAACAGCTGAAAGCTTCGACAAGATCTGCGGTGAAGCCTGGGCCTAGAGTGGCCCTGTCACCGACCTAACCAGACAAAAACCTGCATCACAAACAGTTGAAGCCCGAAACGTGTCAATCTGACAATCCCTGTGAGTCATGCGGCTTCAACAGCCGGACACTGGAAATGGGTGTCCAACCATGAGACGCCTGAGACACATCCTGACCACGGGTCCAAACCGAAAGCTGCATAAGCGAACACGGCAATCCGCTGCGTCCCTCAACATCCAGAGAAAATATGAAGAGCGCGCCCCGCCGGAGCTAAGTCCAAATCCCCCAAATCCTCCAAATCCTCCGGGTCAACTGAGAATTCCTCCCAGGTCATCGCATGGGTCAGCGAATGCGATTCGGCATACATTCTGCACACTTTACAATGATTCCAAAACCTAAAATGAGGGATCCCCAAGTGAAGGACATGGTGAGCTTACTTTTTTGTAGTCAGCTCGCCATAGAGCAGGCAGAAAGAATGGAGTGTTTCAGCGGAACCACCCGCACTGCAAACTCAACCAGATTCACCATCTCACTCTCTACGACGAGCAAGTTTCACTGCTGCGAGAGGTCAAAACTGAGACGATCTGGGTATGACTTTTAATTGCTCCCTCCGAACATTACTACCCATCTAATGGTGACCCGGCATTGACAAGCCCGACCTTTTGTAGGGGACAAGAAGGGACGCCCCAGGCACATCAACCGCGGGTTCTGCTTAGATCCGGGGTGCGCCCCAACTCCTTTGATCCGATAACAACTCTGCACCATTCCCCAGGCTTCTGTCCAACCCCTGAAACCCGAGAGGTTCCCTCTTAAACTTACTCCCCCAAACCAACGCATATACATATATATTTATATATATACATATAAACACGGGGGATCTCCCTTTCCGCATGTTCCGTCCTGGGTGGGTTTTCTGGGTACCCCATCTGAGTAGTGTTGACCCCCACATTAATCAACCCCAGTTTAATTGGGGGGGTGTTCCCCTCCAAAAGTGGTCTGACTCCCCACTAAGCCAAAGGAAAAGCCCCCCCTGATTAGTACACTGGTTGGTTGATTAGGGACACCCCCTATTAATAAACTGGGGTTCTCGCCCCCGCTCCTTATTCATAACATTTCATACCCCCCTATTAAAATAAACAGACCCCTCCGGGGGTCAGCCTCTGGGGTCAACCTGACCCCTCCGCCAGCTCCGACCTCGACTCGACTCGCCTGCCAGCATCTCCCCGGGCGCCAGGCGCCGCAGCTGGGCCACGGCGCCCAGCGCGCCCCGGTGCTTCCGGGGCAGCAGCTGAAGCGCCGGCCTGCTCGTCCGCCGGTCCCAAGCCGGGGGGGGGGGGGTGGGGCAAAGAACCCGGCCGGCAATACGGAGAGAAAAAGAACGGGCGGAGAAGCCAAACCAAGACATCCCATTTGCTGTTCTAACTTTTAAGGGGCCCTGCTCAAACAAGTGACCTAGCAACACAGTGGAAACAGACCAGGGTTTAGGAGTAGAAGAGAAAGATGGAGGGTTTTGGGGGGTTGGGAACTGGTCAAGAAGGGTTCCAGAAGAAAGATCGGATGAAAGGGCTTGTCGCACAAAAGCCTCAAACATCTCTCAATCTACGTGAGTACTCTTCCATCATGGCGTTCCAAAATGAAAGGATCCGTCTTTCAACACTGGCCGAATTTGCAGGTCCAGGTTTGTGGTTGGGGGTGGGACAGCATCAATACTCCAGGACGCAGACCCCAACAGGCCGAGAACCTCCCCGACTTGCCTGGAATCCTTCCACCCCAAACCTAGAATTGGCCAAAACCCCATAGCTATTGAGGAAAACACACAAGACCCATGCAACAACCACCTGTCAAGCCAAAGGAGATCAAGATCTATCAATAGGCCGACAAGGCACTTGCCGAAGGGCAAGCCGTGCTATCTTGAAGCAGGCAGTGGAACGAGACTCTTTGTCTTGCGCCGCGCAGGTGCCCTGAGATATGCACCTGCAAACAAGTCATGAAAATCCGCGCCACACCAAAAGATGCCTCTGGCAACGAAGGATTGAGAAGCAAGCAGTATACCTCAGCTTTTGCCCCCAACCTAAACAATATGAGATTGTCTATGTTCGAGGGTACCCTTTTTGGGGTCACTTTGAAGGGAAGCTAGAAGGAAAGCCACCGTTTTGGATGCGCCAGGAGTTTCATCTTTGATCCCTGCTCCATCCGGGACTAGAGATCCAATACGTTCCAAACTTGGACGAAAAATGGCACCGCCCGTCAAGCTGGGCCTCAGCTCTCCTCCAACTCCTGCGCAGGTTGTGAGCGATTGTTTGTTGCTTCATCCCGTTGCGGAGAACCAGGGCGCTTTGGTCACCATCGTCAACCAAGGCAACTGGCACTGCGACATTGGCCCGTGATTCGTCCCATCCTCTAATCTTTCTTCTCAACGTTGGACTAGTGTGGCGCTGGATTCATCTCAGCAAACGCTTGCTGAAAAACAACTGTGAACCCGTGAACGCTAGTCGAACCCAGCCGGCATGCTGGCTTCTCACCCGTGTTAGTTTCAGTGAAACAAGGGGGATTCTCAGCTTCTTGTCTGAAACCAGCGCCCCACCCAATGGACCACGTCCCCTTTCGTTCCACCAAAAAGAAACTTCAGAAAACAACGAAAAAGACCCCAGCGCCCCAGCGGCGCATTCCCCGCACATCTCGCTCGCCCGCTCCAGGGAGCATGCGCCGCAACATTGCCTCCGACCACTCCATGGCCGCCTTGGGCGATGTGTTTTTGCGGCACCGGGGGCCAAGTGGCTGTGGGTCAAAAATAGGTACCCAAAATGGAACCCTGGTAAATGGAACCAAGGACTAAAACCTGTGGTCCCCTGGTGGTTCAAGTTTGACCCACAACCAAGTGATGAAATCCAAAGCTGGCCAGAAAGAGGACACCCAACTTGCTGACCTTGGCGAATTGTTTTCGAACCCACGCAAAAAAGGAACAAGGCTGGAGGTCTGAAGCCTTGTGCTTCGCATCCGTTCGGAAGCTCGTTCTTGACACGGCCTGTCTCCGCTTCCGGCTTGGCCAAGGGCAGTGTAGGCCTCGGGCATCCAGTTCTCCTGAGCGTGTCGGGAGACAAAGGGATCCATGGGAAATGGCTCCAAGGAATCTGACATAGGGAAGCTGAAGTGCATTGCCATGCGCGGAGGGCCCAACCCAAAGGCATGTTGACACTTTCAGCATCGAAAGGTCTGTCCCTCCATGGCCACATGCAATGATTTGTCTCGAGATTTCCCTCCAACTACATGACTTGGCTCGCACGAGCGCGAAAAAAAGCATGCTTGCAGAACGTCTTGTGCATCTCATGGGTTTTGGAGAACGCTCTATCGCAAGCACGCGATTGAAGACCTCAGGGCGCACGGCTGGAACTTGCGGAAAAGGCCAAAGCAGTCGTATCTGGCAAAAAGGCGTGTGCAAGAAGCTGATAGAGGCCTCGAATGTTCAATGGCAACCCCTTCCAACTCTGCTCCGATCCAGCGAATCACATTGGACAAAGCAAATTTACACGCGCCAAACAATGTGGGATGTGTCCTGGGCTTCTTGAACCGTGTCCAAAAGCAAAGCATCGAGCCTAGCATTGGGCCCAAGCCCCAACTCCAAGCTGCCCGCTCCTGAATTGACTCGCTGGAAAGCGGCCCGAAAACATCGTCGTTGAGGCCTCCTGGCCCATGCAATTTCGGTTGAGCGCCGTTCGGAGATAAGGGTGGCTCAGATTCGGTGACTGCGGTCTTTACAGGTGGGTCCACACTGTGGGTTCACACGCGCATTGTTCAACAGCTATCAAAGAGCCAAGATTTTATGAAATCCCCACATGGAAAGCTGGAGCGAGCAGATTCGGAGGCCTCACCTGTTGCCCATGCGCGAAAGTGCCCCATGCATCCCATGCCGAGCATTCTGCGTCCCGAGGGCCTGCCTTCACGTTGCAAGCGGCGCGGTTGGGTCCCCCGAGTTTCAGGGGGTCAATGACCCACTCCATCGCAACCGAGTCTGTCAAGGGTTTGAGCGGAATGTAAGCACCGCAAAGAGACTCCACCTTGCATTCTAAGAACACATACTCGCACGCACACCTGCATAAGATTCCGGATGGTGCATCAGAATGGTCCCTGCTTTGTAGATCTCAGACCTTTAGTTGATCGCGGTTGTTTGGCAACATCACTTGGAAACAAGCTCTGGCTTTGGCCAAGTGGCTATGGGTGTACATGCAGTAGTACCAGTGTGATTTGATGATACCACATCTCATCTGACAACAACACTCCAGGCCATAGGTGGGCGCAAAGGACATTGGAACAGAAACCAATTTTGACACAATTCGATAGCATCGCGGCCTTGAAATGGGCGCCTCACTGGGCAGCTTAGCAACAGGCATCTACATGCTGCACAAAGGCCTCTGGAAGACTCTATCCCTTTACCCGTCCAAATGAAGCCATGGAAGTGGAAAGCGCCGCCCAACGGAAAGTAGTCTTCCAAAACCCTTCTGTCAGCTTCCATGATTGTTTTAAATAAGATGTCTTCATGCGGATACTTAGGCCCGACGAAACCCGTCAACAACTTAGCCCAGCTCCTGAACGAAAGCTGGTGCTGCTGCCTCGCAAGGACCAAGACGGGAAACTGAAGCTTGCTGTTGTCTTTTGGGGGATCCTCGGTGTTTGAGTCAGTGAGCAGAGAGCATTCCGAAAAGAAAAACAAAGCATCGCTTGCATGTGTTTTACGCGGCATATGGCTGCTCTGCACTTTTCGCACAGGCATGCGCATAGAGGGCATAGGTATATCGTACGGCACATCATCATCATCATCATCATCATCATCATCATCATCATCATCATCATCATCATCATCATCATCCTCGTCGTCGTCATCATCATCATCATCGTCATCGTCATCATCGTCACCAACCCGACACGGCAGCAGGGCCAAGCTAAAGGAAAGCTATCTCCGGATTTCTTTCTACAGGGCATCCACCCATCACAATTCGCCCAGCCCTACGTAGTCTTTCTGACTCAACGCGAGAAAATGACCTGGAGAGCGTCCCGATGACAAGACGTGTTGACTCAACCAGGTCCTCTGTCACACCGGCCGTCCTGGCATCAGAGCTCCAAAGATTCTATAAGCTTCTCGCTCAGACAGGGGTTAGCAGGTATAGACTTTTGTTTGGCGCCACATGCAAGTAGCTGCGAAGTGCGTACTTTGGCCGGTAGTCGCGCTATGCTAGCCGCAAAGTCTCGGGACTCGTAAAATAAGCACTTCTGCTTGGCGGCATAGTACAATGGCTGCTAACTCTGGACTTGGAGATGCAGCCTTCTGTTTGGCATCTTAATGATGCGAAGTTTCAACTCTACCACGTGCTGCCTTCGGGCCGATGATACCAGGCAGCAATGCCTGCATCCCAATCTCAGAAATATACAGGTGTTTGCTCGGCCACAAGAGCAAAAGTTTGGGCCTCGTTGGGACTACTTGGGCAGCCGGAAAGCCGGGAGCTCACAAAAGGGACGTGGAGATGTGGACGTGAACAAAAAGGCAAGTCCGACCCCAAAGCCAATCAAATTGCTGGTCCACTATCATCGCTGAGCATGGCGTGTCCAGGGCTCCGCTCATCATGTAACATGTGTATCTTATGTTGAGTGGGTTGTTTGTTGCTTGCTGTTTTGTTGTGGTTGTTGTTGTGCTTGTGGTTTTGGTTGTGGTTGTGGTTGTGGTTGTCGTCGTCGTCGTCGTCGTTGTTGTTCTTGCTGTTCTTGCTGTTCTTGCTGTTCTTGTTGTTCTTCTTGTTCTTGTCGTTCTTGTTGCTTGTGTCGTTATTGTCGTTATTGTCGTTGTCGTTCTTTTCGGTCTTGCCGTTCTTGCCGTTATTGTCGCTCTTGGTGTTCTTGCCGGTCTCGTTGTTCTTGTCGCTGCTGTCGTTCTTGTCTTTATTGTCGTTATTGTTGTTTGCGTTGCTCTTGTTGTGAATATTATGGTTGTTGTTTTTGTTGCGCTTGTTGTTCTTGTTGTTCTTGTTGTTCTTGTGGCTCTTTTTGTTCTTGGTGTTCTTTTTGCTGTTATTGTTGTTCTTGTTGTTGTTCTTGTTGTTGTTGTCCTTGTTGTTGGTTGTGGCGGTGGTCATTGTTGTTGCTGCTGCTGCTGCTGCTGCTGCTGCTGCTGCTGCTGCTGCTGCTGCTGCTGCTGCTGCTGCTTATTGCTTATTGTTTTTTGCTTGTTGCTTGCTGCGTGTTGCGTGTTGCGTGTTGCTTGTTGCTTGCTGCTTGTTGCCTGTTGCTTGTTGCCTGTCATTTTTTTGTTGGTCGCGCTTGCGGTTGGAGACCAGAAGGAACCATTTTGACAGCTCCCTACTGAGACCCCGCATTTGCCTCTGCGCTCCATATCTTTCGCCGCATGTGGTCAAAGCTCTGAATCTGTGGCCATGGTCGCGGTTCCCCTTACAATGGCTGTCGAAATTTTTCGTTGAGGTGTGTCGATGACCATCCCCAACAACAACACGTCAACAGGTCAGAAAGACCAGGGCACACAGGACGAAGATGCTTGCGGCGCTTAGTTTGCACACCATTCCTGACAAGGTGGAATTTCCCGCCTCTGCGGCTCACGGCACTGCCTGGCACGCAGGGAGATGACGCCTGGTTCACGTCAAAATGAAACCCACCACTCGCCCAGGTCATCAGGCCAAAACCTCAAAAACCAATACCATATA